GGGGGGGGGGGCAGCCCAGTCTGCCTCGTGCTCATGAGCTCAGCAACGGGTGGACTGGAGAGACCTCGGACCAAAGAAGCTGCTCTGAGAACAGTTTGGACCGATTTAGGGAAGGACAAACTCTGTGAACTCTGAGAGCCTTCCAGAGTAGTTTAAAGTATAATGACAAAGTATGTAATTTACTTTAGGGTCCATTTGATTATTGACAATATTATTTTATTATTTCTTTACTGACATTATACATGAAACTCCAATATGGCAAGTAAACGTGGTTTCGAGTTACAGATGTATGTATTGTGGTTTTCTGTTGACTGACGCTAGGAACGTGTTTGAATAGAGACTCACAGGTCTTTTTACAATTAGTAGGAATAAAGACGTATATTGACAGAATTTTTTCCAAGGTAATCCCATGAACTTGAAATTACATTAAATTAAGTTACACTCACTTATCGCTGTGTTAATATTTTTTTTTAAAGTTAAACATGTCATAATTCAGTTTTTAATATGTTAATATCGTCAAATAAATCCATCAAAACAACTGTATTACTAAATTGAAATCATGCATTTATCACTTTACAAATAACATATGAACACATGGCGATAACTTGTTTTCCTCACCTTGAACACATCGTCATGTATTTTGAATCGAACACTGCTATGTTTACGTTAGCTGATATTAGCACAGGTATTCACCAAAGTTTAACAGTGCTGTCCACCGGCATAGCTATCACGTCAATTTGAGCTGTTATTTACATTGTAGCATTTTTTTTTTTTTATTGTTGACGCCGTTAGTCTCGAGTGCTCGTCACCTTTTCAAGATTTTGACATAAAATTGATACCGAAATATCAGTTTCTCTCATAGAGCGTTTACATTGTTGCTTGCCCTCTCAAGCACTCCAAGGTTCCTCTTAATCAAGTTTTCCTGATATATCTTAAGGGTGAAGTCGGGTTATTATTGTTTGCATTAAACTGTTGTTGAGTGAAGGTGCACTCGCTGCTATGTAGTGGCATTCGAGCAATGAGCACACTTTCTCAGAATAGACTCTGTATCAGCACAATGCATCACCTGCCTGTCATTTCTTGGCACAAATCATCAGCCTTGAAAACAAGCTGTGTGTGTGTGTGTGTGTGTGTGTGTGTGTGTGTGTGTGTGTGTGTGTGTGTGTGTGTGTGTGTGTGTGTGTGTGTGTGTGTGTGTGTGTGTGTGTGTGTGTGTGTGTGTGTGTGTGTGTGTGTGTGTGTGTGCATAGTGTGTGTGTGTGTGTGCATAGTGTGGGTAGGCACGTTCCATGTGTGTGTGTGTTTATTCACACCATGCAGCCGCAGAGTGAGGTATCAAACCGGTGTGTTTATTTCTGTTTAATACGCTCTCCTGCATATGCTTGCAAATGTCTCGCGTTCCTCTAACGGGTAACTGTGTTATATTTTGATTTGTTAGTCTGGCTGTGTTTTCCTGCACCCAGTTAAAAAAATGTTGCCGCTGCCAAGGGGAGAAACTGCAGCATCGTGCGTCAGCCCCGTCCTCGTCACAGACTTCAAAAGAAGATGAACGTTTTTTATCTGCGGCTACTGTAGGACACACTGTCTGCAGAGTCTTCCTGCAGGAGGCCACAGCAACAGAGCTGGCTCTCATTACTAACTCCAATGTACAAATACAGATCTTTTCTACACTGTTGAAAAGCATACTTCTATAAAAGAAGGTTTCTGCATTTAGAGCAAATGTAGAAAAGAGGAACAAAAGGCAGATGCATTAGAACAGGAGTGTCAAACTCAATTTCATCGCGGGCCACATTAGAATTATGGTTGCACTCAAAGGGCCGGTGGTAACTTTAAGACTATATAAATATACGTATATATAATATATATTAAATAATGTATTATTTTACAATATTTCCTCTGCATTGGATTATTATCAGATATGGTAATAACTTCATAATTAACGCCTGAAAGCATAAGTCTAGTAAGTAATTG